GTATTTACCCAAAAGAATGAAAATGAGCATACTACAATGATAATAGGCACATAATGTTTACAGCAGAGAAATTCACAATAGCTAAGTTATGGATAAAGTCCAGGCACCCATCAACAGATGAATGGATTAAAAAAAAGTGCTATATATACACAATGAAGTTTTTACTCAGTCATAAAGAAGAATGAAATTATGGCATTTGCTAGTAAATAGATGGAACTGGACAACATCATACTAAATGAAATAAGCTAAGTCAAACTCAAAGTTCAAATGTTTTCTCTCATGTGCAGAATCTAAAGCAAAGTAAGGGGAAGGAAAAGGAGGTGAACCCCTCAAAAGTAGGGGGGAGATCAGTGCAATAGAGAAAGGAGACTGAGAGGGAGGAAGGAGAGATGGGAAAAGGGAGGAAATGTGGAAAGAAAATGATAAAATTATGCTAAGTACATATATGAATATACCAAAGTGGATTCCAACTTTATGTACATCTATACAGCAGCAATTTTAAAGAACAATAAAAAAAACAGAAGGCAGACCAACAGAGTAAAGAAGAAGGGGAATAGGGAAAGAGGAGAAGAGTACTGAAATGAGGTAATTATATTCCATGTACAATTATGTCACAGTAAATCCCATTATTATATATAATTACAAGGCACTAATAAAAACTTTTTTTAAAAAAAGGAACAAGTTAATAAAATTAGTCAAGAGGCCTGAAGAGGTACCTATTTCCAATTTTTAGGTATGTTTCAAGCAACCAACTTATAAACATAATTTACATATATGTAATTAAACATAATTTAAATATATTGTAAACAGATGTTTGAGGCAGGAGTCAGCAACCTTTTTTGTAAGTACTCAGATGGGAAATATTTTAGGCTTTGAATGCCACATGATATCTGTCACAACCACTAACTTTATTGTAGTGACTAAAGCTGCTCCAGACAAGATGTAAATGAATGAGCATGTGGCCATGTTACAATCAAAACTTAAAAGTAGGCACCAAGAAAGTATAGCTCAATGGTAGAAAGCTTGCCAAACATATCCATCCCCTGGGTTTGATCCTCAGCATCATAAAGCAAAACAAAACAGCCAAAGCTAGGGTTATAATAGGGGGAAATTGGAAAAGAGCGCCAAGCCACATTAGACCCATGGGCCATGGTTCGCTGCCCCGATTTAGAGTACTACTACATTTTCCAACTCTCCCCATCTAGTAGTAGTATAGGTTTTCCTTCTGTATTGCCCAGGCTGGCCTGTGTTTGATCCTCAGCACCACATAAAAAATAAATAAATAAAATAAAGGTATTGTGTCCATCTACAACTAAAAAAAAAGTAAATAAATTAAAAATATATATATAAAATCATCACCATAGAGGGCAGTAGTGAATAAAGAAAATAAGGGAACAAAAGGTGATGGATCCTCACACCAAAGATCTTTATTCAGAATTTTAGTAAACTAGAATTAGGCATACCCACAACTTGAAAAGCAAAAGCAAGCCATGTGCGTGGTACACACCTGTAATCCCAGGAGCTTAAGAGGCCGAGACAGGAGGATCATGAGTCAAAGCCAGCCTCAGCAATAGCAAGGCACTAAGCAACTCAGTGAGACGCTCTCTCTAAATAAAATACAAAATAGGGCTTGGGATGTGGCTCAGCAGTTGAGTGCCTGAGTTCAATCCCTGGTACCAAAAATAAATAAATAAAAAATAAAAGCAAGAGCAAATAAAAGAGTATAAAAACTTATATAAATTGAAATTACAAATGTGAAAAAAATCATATAAAAATAGCAGCAAATAGCAAGCAAGTACTGTGTTATATAGGATGTCATCTCCCTAAAACACCACTCCCAATTCATTTATTCATTGCTCTTGGAGCTACCCAAAAATGAAAACTAGAGTAAGTGAATCATCTGCTGCACACATCTACAAGAAGATGAAATGTTTGCCCTTTTGTGTTTAACTGGGCTGGAGGTTTAGCTCAATGAGGGGAAAAAAAAATGAAGGTTATTAACATTTGTGACACTGAGCCAAGAGAGGCAGTACATGCCTGTAATCCCAGCTACTCTGTAGGCTTAGCAAGTGACTAGCTCCAGACCAACCTGGGGAGTAGAATGTCCCTGAATTCAATCTGTAGTGGAGGGGATAGGGTGACACTGAATTTCTTGCTGGAGGTTACACATCCTTTCCTTCCTTTCCTCTTACCCCTATCATCTCTCTCCATTTTCAGTTTGTTCACAGACCGTGATTTTCCTGCAGATGACTGAAAGGTATGAATTCTGCTGTCACCTATATGTAAAAATGTATACTTTGCAGGGCTGCGGTTGTGGCTCAGTGGTAGAGTGCTTGCCTAGCATGCATGAGGACCAGGGTTCAATCCTCAGCACCACATAAAAATAAAGATATTATATCCACCTAAAAGTAAAAAATAAACAAAAAAAATGTATACTTTGCTTAAAAGCAAGAATAAATGTTAGCAAGATTTAAAGGGACAAGCATTGTTTCACTTTTTTTTTTTTGCCTCCTCCACTAATACTCCTGAGTGGTTACCACATTAGGATGGAATTGAACTAGTCACCATTTCCTGAACATGCTCTACATTTTCCTGTCCCACCTCTATTTTGTTAACCTAGAATGCCCTGTATAGCTGGCCCCTATTTCAGTCTTAAAATACTCTTCATCGGGCTGGAGATGTGGCTCAAGTGGTAGCACGCTCGCCTGGCATGCGTGCGGCCCAGGTTCGATCCTCAGCACCACATACAAAGATGCTGTGTCCGCCGAAAACTAAAAAATAAATATTAAAAAAAATTTTTTTAAAAATACTCTTCATTGCCAGGTGTGATGGTGCAAACCTGTAATCCCAGAAACTGGTAGACTGAGGCAGGAGGATCAAAAGTTCTAGGACAGCTTGAGCAATTTAGTGAGACCCTGTGTTAAAATTCAAAAAATAAAAATAAAAGGATTTGGGATGAAGTTTAAAGATAGTGTTTGCATAGCATTGTGGGGCCCTGCATTCAATCTGAGCACCACCAAAAAAAAAAAAAAAAACCAATTTCACTTTCTTCAAGAGCAACAAAAATGGCATCCCCATGAAGCCTGCCAGAAAGAATATCTCTTTAGGGCTGGGGATGTGGCTCAAGCGGTAGCGCGCTCGCCTGGCATGCGTGCGGCCCGGGTTCGATCCTCAGCACCACATACAAACAAAGATGTTGTGTCTGCCGATAACTAGAAAAAATAAAAAATACTTTTTAAAAAAAAAAAAAAGAATATCTCTTTACTGTCCACAGTTGCTTAATCACACTTCTTTTTACAAAACTATAGTACTCCTGCATCATGCGTATTTGTGCATGTTCCCTCTTGAATGACATTCTATCTCTGCTCAAAGCTTTTTGTTTAAAAACATTTACTTTTCATGTTTCCATAAAAATTACACATTTAACCTTCAGTACTGCTTATGAGATAAATGAAGATTAAAAGCAGATGTCACCCTGAGCCTGAGGTTTCAGTATTAAGTTAAACAACCAAAGACTTTCTTCCTGGTTCCTCAGACCAATCAGCTGCACAAAGACCATGTTACCAGGCACAGGCAAATTTTCTGGTGCCTTCTCTCAGTACCAAGAGAGCCATGACAACATTGCAACCCAGAATTGCTCAGCAAACTTAAGTATCCTGGATATTAATCAGCAATGTATTTAAAAGAAAATAAAGGAGAAAAATTTCGAGCAATCTCTTCTCTGAATATCTCACAATTTTTATCTCATAACAAAACCAAGAATCAAAATATGGTCCACCTAAAGAGGTCCCCAATATATGAAGATCCTAAGACCAACAAAACATGACTGTATGCAGTCCTTTATCCTCATCCCCATAAGCACAATAAACACTCAAAACTCAGTATGATGTCAAATTTTCTACAAAGCCTTCTCTGATACTTAAGATTACAAATTAACAGAAATAGAAGGATTGTTAGTGGTTTATGCAATCCCACTACTCCACAGGTCAGGCAGGAGGATCATGAGTTCTAGACCCACCTGGCCAACATAACAAGACCTTGTCTTCAAAAAAAATGAAATGAAATGGGTGTTCACCATGTTTTTGCAAAAAACAAAGGAAGTAACATGTAAAATGCTTAGTGTAGTTCCTAACACATTCAAAATCCACAAAAAAAAAAAAAGCATTATTTTTAAGTCTATTTCTAAAGTACATTTTGGTACTAGATGTAGTCCTATGACTAATTTCTTGGTCTAAACCAAAGTTGTCCAATACCACAATAATTAACCACATGCAATTACTGTGCATTTCAAATGTTGTTAGTTAGAATTGATATGTGCTTTAAGTGCAAAATACAAACCGGATTTCAAAGACTTAGTGAAAAAATTACAATTCTTAATATTTTGTATCCTGATTACATATAAAGTGATAATACTTTGAAAACACTGGGCTAAATAAAGCATTAAAATTATTTCACCTACTATGTTTGTTTCACATATTTTTATGGGGCAGGCTGATCCATATTTTGACTTCCAATCGGTAAAAATGCTCTTAACCATACAGTTGACTGCTTAACAGGTGTCCATTCTGGCTAATCCACCCCTTAAATAAGCCTGCAAACAGTGGCTCATTTTAAGGCTCTCAAACTTCCACAACCAAGAAAGCTGGCGATCAACCCAGCGCTCTTAATTTTTAAAAGTCCAGAGCCCATAAACGCCAAGGAAACGCGAAATTGATTATCACCCAAAAAGAGGTATAAAAGAAGTCTTGAAGGTTTAAAAAAAAAAAAATCAAAGCAGTACCCTGAGAGTGACAGTCAGCCTTGAGCAGAAAGAGGTCACCCTTAGGAAAGAGACGGGATGCAGAATGAGCTCCTCAGATCTGAAGCGGCGCAATGTGAATGGAGCCCACTACATAGAAATCTGAAGAGCAAAGTCTTTTCAGACTTGGGGCTTGGGGCGAGTCTGAGGGCTGAAAGGAAGGGGCTGGGCTCTGTGGCAGAGGCTTCAGGAAAAGCAATACCTTAAGAATCCCCCTCATCTTCGCCAAAAAGGGACGGAACTCCTCAGCCGACACATCCGGATACAGCTGGCTCCTCAGCAGCTCCTCCGTGATGCCCCGGTGCCCGTGGAAAGCGTCCTGGGCCAGGCCGCTCAGCAGCCCACTCAGAGACTTGCATCCCTCAAGCTCGCCCGCCATGGTCTGCAAAAGCCCCGCCCCACAAACAGCTGAGAGGCGCTCTCTAACGGCGGCCGAGGTGAGTCTAAATTGCCCAGGCAAAGGCACGCTGGGAACCTTGAGGCCTTTCAACCAGTGGTCGGTGACCGCAGCTTCCAGCTTTGCTCAGTAAAACCCATCCCCACAGAAGGGCACCACCGGCGTACGCATTCAATTCCATGTAGGCTTCTTTACTCCCTCTGATTTCTTTCAGCACTCGAAAACCTATCCAAAGGATGATTGCTTGATGGAAATCCCTTGTTAACCAGTTTAACTTTTTGACTTGCCAGCCGATTAACTGAATGGAATCTACCACTCAGCTCTAATTGCGGCCTAAACCTTACCTATGGAACATTGTTCAATAAAACTATCTCCTGATGACATAATTGGTTTGCTTTCGTTGTTGATTACCTTTAAAAAAAAAATTTTTTTTTTTGTAGTTGTGTATGGAGAGAATGCTTTTGTTTATTTATATGCGGTGTTAAGGATCGAACCCAGTGCCTCACAAATCTAGGCAGGTGCTCTGCCACCGAGCTACAGCACCAGCCCTTGACTGCTTTTTTATAGACATGCATCTTATATGGCCAGCTAGACAGTGGCTCTGATCCAGTGTTGCCTTCCATAACAAATATTTTGCCAATGCTTTCTTTGCTATCCTGCAAAGTATTGACAATTTAACTTCCTATTCATAAAATTACAAAAATTCCATTTATTACTCAGGCGTAAAAAAGATAAAGTACTGATACATGCTAACATAAACGAACCTTAAAAACACTAAACGAAGGAATCCAAGCAAGGTGCATGGCACAACTGTAATCCCAGTGACTCAAGCAAGAGGATCGTGACTTCAAAGCTAGCTCCAGCAATTTAGCAGGAGGCCTTAAGAAACTCAACAAGACCCTGTCTCAAAATTTAAAAAATAGAAAAGGCTGGGGATATGGCCCAGTGTTTAAGCACCCCTGGTTCAATCCTTCCTATGAAAAAAAAAAAAAAAAAATCCAGTATCTGGCTAAATGAAAAAAGCCCAAATACTGGATAATCCCTTTGTAGTAAATGTCCAAAATTGGCAAATCCATAGAGACAGTAATAGTTATCAAAGACTGGAGGAGAGAGGAATGAGAAATATTGGGAAATATGTGAATTGACTCTCTAAAAATTAATGTAATGGAGCTGGAGTTGTAGCTCAGAGGCAGAGCACTTGCCTAGCTAGCACATGTGAGGCATTAGGTTCGATTCTCAGCACCACATAAAAAATAAATAAATAGGATAAAGTCATGCTGTCCATCTACAACTACAAAAAAAAGTTTTTTAAATTAATATAATGACCTGGTTATAATTTAGAATTTTAAAAAGGAAATAATTCATATTATATTAATTACAATGTGTGTCTAGACACAACTACACTAGGTGACTAGAAGACATATAATATGTGCCTGAAATTTTTTTCAAAGAAATATGAAACAGTGACTTACAAAAGATGTAAATGTGTCTTAATTGAAAATTTTTTTCTATGTGAAAAATCAAAGAATCCTCTCACAGATAATCGATACTGCATTAATGATTTGATAAGAGTGTACTAGCAGCCAGGCGTGGTGGCGCACATCTGTAATCCCAGTGCTCAGCATCTAAGGCAGAAGGATCCTGAGTCCAAAGCCAGCCTCAGCAACTTTTGAAGGATTTAAGCAACTCAGCGAGACTTTGTCTCCAGATAAAATATTTCTTTAAAAGGGCTGGAGATGGGCTGGTTTGTGGATCAGCGGTGGAGATCTCACCTAGTGTGTATGGGGCCCTGGGTTCGATCCTCAGCACCACATATAAATAAATAAAATAAAGGCATTGTCTCCAACTCCACCTAAAAAATGAATATTTAAAAAAGCGGCAGGAGAGGGGTGGGCTGGAGACACTAGCTCAGTGTTTAAGCCCCTGGGTTCAATGGAGACACTAGCTCAGTATTCAAGCCCCAGTACAAAAAAAAAAAAAAAGTGTACTAGCAATGACTATAGTTTTTTGTTTTTGTTTTTGTTTTTTTTTGTTTTTTTTAATTACATCTGAAAGATCAACCTAAATACTGTTGGGGCTGGGCTTGCTTTGTAGCTCAGTGGTAGAGTGCTTACCTCTCATGCATGAGGCCCTGGGTTCGATCCTCAGCACCACAAAAAAGTAAATAAAGATATTGTGACCATCTACAACTAGAAAAAATAACTTAAAAAAAATACTGTTGAGGAGGAGTGTTTTTATCCCAAACTCCAATATTCCCATTTGTGTCCTGTCCTGTTCTACTTTGTAGAAATCTTAACAACACAGATGCCTACTTTGTAGAAATCTTAACAACACAAAGGCCTACATCTTCATGTAGAACTACTTGTGATTTCTGCTGATGCAAACTGATAAAGTTGTGCAGTGCTGGTGACTCTAAAGAGACAGCAGTTGCTATTGTTAACAATGATATTCTGAAACAGAGATTGGTAAAGTTTACCAAAAACTAAAGCTTCTCTCACTTAATGTAGTAATTACAAACCTGGAAAACTGGAATGTCCGTATATATTAAAACCAATCTAAAAGTACATTGTTTCTATGTAAAAAGGAGTTCAGTTTAGGCTCAAATCATAACAAACAGGTTTTTTACATGGATGTCCTCCTGCATGGCAGGATGTCTCCTCATATCCCTGGCCTCTAGACACAACTATACTAGGTGACTAGAAGATATATAATATAGCCACATGCCTGTGCTACCCCTACTCTTCTATTAATATAACAATTGAAATGCCCTTTCAAAGCATTGGTAGTCTATTAATAACCACTAATAGAGGGCTGGGGTTGTGGCTCAGTGGTAGAATGCTTGCCTGGCACATATGAGACACTCAGTTTGATTTTTAGCACCACATAAAAAATAAAGATATCTTGTCCATCTACACATTAAAATATTTTTTAAAAAAGAATCACTAGACTGCTTTAATTAAAGTTTATCTGGGTTTTCAAGATAGTAATTTGAAGGCAAGACAGTCTCTTTTTTTCCTTTTATTTTTTAGTTGTAGTTGGACACAATACCTTTATTTTATTTATTTTTATGTGGTGCTGAAGATCAAACCTAGGGCCTTGCATGTGCTAGGCATACACTCTACCACTGAGCCACAACTTCAGCCCAAAGGCAAGATAGTCTTTATATTAAAAAATATCTGATATATTTCTTCCCCTAGAATTAATTTCATTTTTTGCAGTACTGGTGATTGAACTCAGGGGCATTTTACCACTGAGCTACATCCCTAGGGGAAAAAAATTTAAATTTTGAGACAGGGTCTCACTAAGTTGCCGAGGCTATCCTTGAACTCCCAATCCTCCTGCCTCAGTCTGCAGAGTTTCTGGGATTACAGGTGTGCACCACACCTAGCTTTATAGTTAGTATGTATCTCTCAGTAACAGAATGGTTTTTATTTTCTTCTTTTTGCTTACCTGATTTTTCTAAATGTCTACAATGTACATGAAATACTGTTGTAATGAGAATATTTTTAAAAATCTGTCCCCCCAAAATTTTTTTTTTGTACCAGTTCCTGGCTCATTCCAATTACCAGAGAGGTCTAGGACATGATAGATTACCCATTCAAGAGAGAACCCTCATTTTGGATGGTTGGTCAAGTGTTGTTTTGTAAAACCTATTTTACAAAACATTAAAGAAATTCTATAAAGCTATTGTTTATTGACAATATTCCTACATTCTCCTATATCTGCATGGATCTGTTAGGAGAGTTTGTCGTTATTGTTTTTTGCAATGCTGGGGATTGAACCTATGGCCTATGGCATGAACCTATTGAACCTATGGCATGCTGGGTGAGCACTCTTCAACTGAGTTACATCCCCAATCATAAGAGTATTTTTTAAAAATGTCTATCCTACAATAGCAACAATGTTTTGTTTATATAAAGTATCCTATAAAAGCTTTTAATTTTGTTGAAATGCTGTTCTAATGGAGAATCCTGTACATAAACACATTAACACAAGCAAAATTTAAGCATTTGTTTATTGTTTAATCCCAGGAATAACAATAAAACCAATGGAAAAAGAGAAAAAAATGCTTATAACTTGAAAGATTTCCGATAATCAAAGCAACTGTCATACCCATGGAGACTGTCCCAAGAAACCAATAACATCAGCTTTCAAATTTTCTATCTTCTGAGGCTGACAGGTCTACTTCTTACATTAATGGGACTAGAGTTTAATAAGCCTCTATAGATTATGTAATTCAACCTTCCTATTTTATAGAAGAGGAAAATAAGACTCAGAATGAGTTGCTCAATATCTCAATAGTAATAAACATCAGAGCTGGAACTCAAACCCAAACTTTCAGACCCTCAAATTAATGCTATCTCCATTATCACACACTTATTTCTATCATATTATGTAAGTTGTTTAAACAAATAATCATAGAATGTTTATGTGCTACATGGAAGTAAATTGTTTCTTTGACGATAAGTTGATCCCAAAGGCTTACAGATCACAGGGACCTAGGAAGTTCATCTCCTACAGCTAACAGCCTGGATGGGTGTACAAACACCTCAAGATCACAGGATCACGTCCTTGGAACAATCATACTTGGACCTATAGTAGGCATCTGTCACTTTATGGGGGCTTAATAACTTGGGAACAAATACTGAATGAACCTCCTACAAAAATCTCCCAATTCAAATACAATGGTAATGAGAACTCAGCAGGTTAGATATGACAGTCTTTGCTCTGTATTGGAATACTGCTTCCATCAACTTACTCGTCTATCTTGAACTTCATTACTCCACCAAGTAAAGATAATGACACCTATTTCACAGGATTATTGTCGAGGATTAAATGAGATAAAATATGTAAAACGTTAGCATTTTGCCTAGCAGGTAAGTAAGCTCCCTAAGAGTCAGTGGCTATGTTATGTAGGAGAAACCAACAGAAGACGAGTGGGTTGTACTGACAGGCAGTCTTTATTTGACAGGTGGTCACAAATTTTAAAAAGTTCTCTGGCATTTAACCAGAATATACTTAAGCTTCTAACTATCACCCAATAACAACGAGTACGAAATAACTAACCTTAACACTTTTGGGGGGAAGGGGGGTACCAGGGCTTGAACTCAGGGGCACTCTACCACTGAGCCACATCCCAAGCCCTATTTTGTATTTTATTTAGAGACAGGGTCTCACTGAGTTGCTTAGTGCCTAGCCAAGTTACTGAGGCTGGCTTTGAACTCGCGATCCGCCGGCCTCCGCCTCCCGAGCTGCTGGGATTACAGGCGTGCACCACCGCGCCGGCTTAACCTTAACACTTAAAACAAAGGAAAGCATTCACCCATCGCAAATCGTCTCCTTCAACCCGCTTTCAAACTGAATAAAATGGATAATAATGGATAAT